TACTAACCTGATGTCATTATGTGGAAAAGAGCAGCTTGGACAATATTGTGAACTACCTCCTTTTGTGTTTTACAGATTAAAGAAAGTCGTGTGAATTTGGAACAACATGACGATGAGTTGTTTTTGCTTGACCTATTCCTTTAGTCATGGAGCGAACTTAAAAAATGGTTTAAATAAAGATTTAAATGTCATATTTAAATTCACAGTTTGGTGTTGGAAATCAGTGGTTGTCGTTTATTAATTCCTGACCTCTGACACTTGGGCAGCGGCCAGAATCTTCCTTTCCTCGCTAAGGTTCCTACTGATGATCATCGCCATGGAAACAGGATTGTCTTGGAAGAGGCTCTGAAACACAAGGGTTGTGTTAACTCGCAAACTGACCTATTTATTGCCTAATGATTTAGAGGCTGCGACACAAATGCTAAAAGGAAATTATTGTGTAGCCAGTTGCAGACAGGCACCTGCAAGTTCCTCTTGATCTTGCGGATGTTGTGCTGGTTCAGGAAGTCTTTCTCCATAGCGAAGCGGCTGTGTTGGTGATCCAACTGGGTCAAAAGATCATGAAACCTCACGGTGGCCAGAGACTCATTCTCCACATTAGCGACGTGGTCCCTTTAAGAGAACGAAGAACAGATGATTCACACCAAATGAAGATGAAACTGGATTGAATTCTATTTTTAACACAATTCCTATATCTGCGCCTATATAATCCAGCTTTTATCAGGAAGATAAATTTAATAAGAAAATGAATATTTAAAGTGGAGTATCTAAAACTAATTGTTTATGTTGCAAAAAAAGTTAAAGTTAATTAAATACAATTAATATTAATATTTTGATTACCTTTAAAAACATGTATGCACATTAAAAAAGTAATTATTCATGTTTTAATATTTAAATTGTAATGACCTTTAATCATATTTTTGCACATTTAAAATATTAATTAATTTTGTCAAATTTTAATGACAATATTTTAATTTATATTAACATTAGTAACATTAATTAAAGTGTTAAAGTAAATTAATATTAATAAATTGAATTAATAGCTTTATTACCCTTTAAAAATATTTATGCACCTTAACAAGTATTCATTATTATTTTAATTTTTAAATAATATTATTTTAATTAACATGTAGATATTAATATTCTAATTACATTTAAAAATAAGTATGCACATTCAAAGTATTCATTAATATTCTCATTTTAATTAGTTTTTGATTCATATAATATTAAAGTATTAAAAGTAATTTAAATATTAATAACATCAATTACCTTTATAAGATATGCACCTTAAAAAGTATTAATATTTTAATGTTTATATATTACAATTTTAATTTATATGTTAACGTGTTCTGATTACCCTTAAAATATCAATGCACATTTAAAAATATTTCTTACCATTTGCATATTTTAATAATATATTAATAATTTTGATTAATATTCAATTTTGAACTTTATAATAAATACTGTTAAGAATCAACAGGTTGCCTAGTTTAGCATGATTATACTTGCAAGAGGTTGTGGTTATGTGTTTGAATGGTTGTAAAGGTACACAATCGGTCGTACGCACCAGTCATGGCTTTCTATCCAGCTGCTGAGGTACTGCCGGATGGCCATTGGAAAGCTGTCATCATACAGTTGGTCGACCTGTTCCAAAAACTTGGAATCCAGTTGTTGAAGCTCCAACCACTGACTCATTTCTGCGACTCTGTGGGCTGAGAGTTATATAATACATGACAAAATATGGTCGTTAACAGACAGGCCACAGTGAAGATATATTTTTTTTTTTTTACTTACAGGAATCACAGTAAAAGCAGAAACAGCAGACCTCAACAGATGAGATAATGAGATTTATATCTCAATTTATGGCCATGGAGTTTTTTTGTGTGTGGTGTGTGTTTCTAATCATGCAGCTACTAACAAATTTTCATTTGCATGAAAAGCTCATTTTGTGTAAAACTGTTAATTCACTGTTAAGTATCATTATTACTACTATTATTATTATTCTCAAAAATGCATTGTGTTTTCTTGTAGTGAATGTGGGTGTTTTGTGCTTTAAGACAATGAGATATTTAAAAAATATATATATTTTTATATTATATGATTGTTAGGAAAATGTTTTCGTCGTTTTAGGCATAATTACTACTTAAGACGATAAGAGTAACAGAATTTTGAACATGTATGCTAATTTACATTTAAACGGAATGCTTTATTATGGTACGATTATTTTATGTATAACATTAAAGCAGAAACAAAGTATTGCTGTCAGTGTAACTGAACATTAGTATTGTCAAAAAGATTGTACATACTATTTATATTATTATTCATGCTTAAAAACAATCTGCGTGTGCGCGCACGTGCGTGTAGGGTAGGGTTTGGAGGTATTGTTTTTGCATAAATATATTTGAAGTGTTTTCTCATTCAGACAGCTAAGTTAGGTAAACATGTGGGTGGGGGTTTTAATGCTTTCAAATTGTTCTCAATTGGAATCAATCGATTAATCGATCAATATATATCAAGCTATAATGAATAATGTTATTATTATTAATCAATCAATAATAATAATATAGCTATATTGCAAGATGTTATTATAAATATTATTATTAGATATAACAGAATTCATGACCACATGATATTGTTTTGCAATGCATTCATAAGGCCCGCAGAAGAGTTTACATATGGCCTAGTTATATAAAGGCCTTTTATGTGTTTTTCCATTGAGTTCTAAATAGTAAAAATCCTCTAATGACATGTGAAATCTTATGGTTATACAGTATGCATTATTTATATAACGCATTAACAAAACGTGAGAGCAAAACTTCAAATTTTACGCAGAAAAAAAAATATATATGAATGCGGAAATTAAAGTTATTATTTTGTTACTCACCCCAAAACGTTATCCAAACAACGTTAAAGCAAGAATCCAAAAAAGACTTGTTTGATTTGTTTTCTACAGCAGCGCAAGAACAGGCCAGTCCCCTGTTACTGTCGATTTGTTATTGAATTCGCAGATGTCCGACTCCGTCTGCGTGAGGAGCGCGTGTTTGAGTGACAGCTGTGTGAACCAATCAGCGAGCGAAATTGTGGTTTTTACGTCTGCACTAGCCAATCAGCGCACTCGGGCGTCGTTTATAACGCAAGGTGGAATTTTCGACCAGACGTTGTAGCGCAGCCCACGTGATTTATAAGAAACTGAAACTGTGCAGCAAACTAGAGAAAGGTGCTTATTTCATCACCGCGTAAAAGCTGTGGGAGAAATGCACGTTATATGATTTCTTTTATAATTTGTTATAAGAAAATAATTTGTTTTAAGAGGAAAATAATTGCATAAGTGACAGGACTAAAGGAATGCATGTGGATGTGGGGTCAATCAAGGTGAAGTTGCATTTATTTACACTCATAAAATCTGACATACTAAAGAATAAAAATTTACTGACCCCAAACTTTTGAACGGTTGTGTATATTGTTAGAAAAGATTTCTATTTTAAAATAAATGCTCTTATTTTTAACTTTTTATTCATCAAAGAATCCTGAAAAAAGTATCACAGGTTCCAAAAAAATATTAAGCAGCACAACAGTTTCCAGCACTGATAATAAATCAGCATATTAGAATGATTTCTGAAGGATCGTGTGACACTGAAGACTGGAGTAATGGCTGAAGGAAATTCAGCTTTGCATCACAGAAATAAATTATATTTTAAAGGATATTAAAATAGAAACCATTATTTTATATTGTAATAACATTTTGCAAGATTACAGTTTTTTCTGTATTTTTGATCAAATAAATGCAGCCTTGATGAGCATAAGAGACGTCTTTATAAAACATTACAAGTCTTACTGATCCCAAACTTTTGAGCGGTAGTGTATATATAATTTTTAAAAATGTATTTAGTTGTCCTAACTGTGCACGATGACATGGTTAGTTGCACTGCATTTTTATGTAGTCTAGCCTGTCGGTATTAGAGGCAAGATTGTTTATTTGTATTCCATGTCCTAAACCTATAGTTTCATGGTAAGTATTATTATTGAATCATGCAGCAAAGTGTGCAAAATCCTTTTCAAAAAAGCAAATTAAGACATTTCTAAGTGCACTCATTGCCCTGGGGACAGACTCCTAGTGTCGTTGCCTCACGGGGCCTCAATCACACTGGGGAACCCTTCAGAGAACAAAATAAAACAGGAGAGGCTTTAGCTTCCATGGAAATGAGTTTGTTGCTTTTGAGCGCCATAATGTGCTCCACATGCTTGGAATGGTGTCAATGGTGTCACTGTTAGGGTTACAAAGGGAAAACACTGAAGAGGTCCCTTAAGGACACGCGAAAACAACTCCTCAGAGACGTCAGTAACAGGCATTTTACTTGGTACAACAGATCAAAACTATAACATGATTTGGAACCATAGAATCTATACAATTAAAAAAAAATCTCCATGTCCATCTCTATCCTATGACATTATGTAGGCTACCTAGTGAATTGGCAATGTAATTGATGTTTTTGACAAGAACATAAGCTGCATGCTTTTGGGTAGTTGACATGTTCCAGCAATGTCTAAAAAGCATTTAAAGATTATTTATACATTTAAAATTTGTGACCAGTTACAGCAATGAAAAACGTTTTCCTATCCCTACCATCTGTCAACTACACATATGCTATGAAACAACTGCAGAATTCCTAAAGTCTATTGTTTGGACGTCATGTTGAGTGAGTTTCTGGGTCAGTGTTCCTGTTTTTGGGGTCACTGAGGGATAAGTGACTTTATATAAATAATCAACTATACAACCCCCTTTGACATTAATTAAAAAACTTAAAAGCACTTTTTGCAATTTTTACATTCTGATATCAAGCTGGTAAAGCCCATCAGGTCATCTCTATGCTCAAATGCATTCACAGCGGAAGACTTATACCTTCATAAACAAAGAAACACTTGTCACCTTGGTACTATTGTCCTTGTGTGCAACAGTCGATGAGAACGAACTAAAAGAATCAGATAAGTTGGTTTGTTGGGATCCTGGTGTGGTCAATTGTTTTAGCAGGAACTATTTTGTCAGGGACAAGGTAAAGGTTGTTTTCACTTCCCTCTGGTCCAGAGCAGTTAGGGCTTGCTGTCGTAGCGACTCGAGAAGCTCTCTGGCTCAAGAGCAGCCACAAAGGTCTACAACCATTGAAGGGATTTTTCCGTAGATTATCTGCTCACGGTCATTGAAGTACAGCATATTTATTGGCGACATCTTGGTGGGTGTGCAGCAGGGGCCTGCGCTGCCCCGAGGGTTGGCCTTGTTGACGATGTGACTATGGGGGTACTTCTGCACACATTCACCGGAGCAATAATTGGCCTTGTAGCGCTTGGGGGCAATTATCCAGTCCCAACCAAATTCCTCAAAGTCAACGGTGAGTGGATACCGGCAGCAACGTGACTCAGTGGAATGCTCATCGCAATCGAGGCCGGTGTCCCGTCTGGACCGTTTGCCAGTGTCCGATATTTTCACCTCCAGGAAGGGTTGCTGGAAGGGTGGACATAAGAACGATTAGCTCAGTCATGGTCAATTAAGTTCAAAGGTGCAATTAAGCACATACTTGACATTAATTGCAATACACTTTTTACAGGAACAGCCCCCACCTTCCTGATAAACCTGATCAATAAAATCTGTGTTCAAGCGTATTATGGCCCTTTGTGGAGTTTGAATGTACCTTGTCTTCCAACATTACTCTGAAAACTCAGTAAGACTTGGCAGAATCTACCAAGTCTGAATAAGATTTGACAGATTTCTAATGGTACATTTAAACTCCACAAGGAGCACATACATTTTGAAAGCTACTGTACAGTGGTGGGGATCAGAATTTGATGACACAATTTTCATCTTTAGGTCAAGTATTCCTTTATCCACTAGACCTGTGGCCCCTCGGCAATGCACATATTGCATGTCTCCTTATTCAAACACACGTGATTCAGGTCATCAACTCGTTGGTAGAGACTCCAAGACCTGAAATCGGTGCAGATATGCAAAATGTGCAGTGCTGGTGGGCATTCAGGAACAGGGTTGGAAACCACTGCATTAGACTACTCTGTAAGGTAAGACTAGGTACACCAGGGGTGCCCAATCCTGTTCCTGGAGATCTACCTACCTGCAGAGTTCAGTTCCAACCCTGATCAAACACCACCTGTAATTATCAAGTGCTCCTGGAGATCTTAATTATTTGGGGTTGGAGCTGGACTTTACAGGAACAGGATTGGACAACCCTGATGTACACTTTCATAAACCTTTGGCAGATCAGTTAATTAAAGTTAGTCCAGCATTTGACAAGCAAACCAATATAACTCCTGGTTTCCCAAAGAAGCATAAGTACCACTGCATGCACTGACTTACCAGTCCTTCTTCTCCAGATTCTGCGGAGGTCACAGCCAGATCGTTTCCATTTGCATCAAAGGCCTTGATTTCTATCCCGAAGTTACTCTCAGGCTGTTTGAGCCACAACTGCAATAGCTGCTTCATGTCGATGTGCTGCCAGGAGTTTGTCCGGGCGTTCACATCAATTTTTTGTGCACGTATTCTTGAGTGGTTGTTCCCTTCAGACAAAGACTTAAGGTGAGATATCTGGATAAAGACTGTGGTTGGCTCCTCTACTGGTCGGAGGTAGATCCAGAGCAGGGCCTTGAGGATGCTGTTAGGCATAATCTTTGGGCTCAGTGAGAACATGCAACACTTCGGCATTCCCTCAGATTGAGTGATTGCTTGAGCTGCAAGGAATTAAGTTTACTAAGACCATGTACACCTTTTTCACCTTACACTCTCAGAAAAAAATGTACGAAAATGATACTTTTACGGGTACAACAGCTTGTTACCGGGCCAGTACCCTTAAAGGGACAACTTATCAGCTTATGGGTTAACATAGTAGTAAGGGTACATATTACTGCTCTAAGGTACTAATATGCACCTTTCAGGGGTAGATAAGGTACAAAGTTGTCCCTAAGGTACAAAGTTGCCCCCGGGACCACTGTCCCGCAGATTTGAGATTTACATGAAAATTCCAGGCTGGTATGTTTTATTATTATGTTTGGAACAAAAATCTGCGGGACAGTGGCCTTCCAGGGGCGGAGTTGCCCATCCTTGCAAAGGTTTATGCCAAAATCATATAGTTGCTGGGGTTATTAATACAAATGCCATTCTTCTAGTGATGTAGCAAGTACATCGGGTGTTATGAGAAGGTGGTTATTATGTTGTTGCTAGGGGTTCCTTAGTGATTTTAGTTTGTTACTATACAATTAAATGTTCTTTTTAAGATGCCCTTATGTTGTTGCTTGCATGTTATGGATAGTTGCTAGGGTGCTAGGTTGTTTTGAAAGTTTTTAAAGTGTTGCTATATGGATGATAACATGGTTCTGGGTGGTTTCTAGGGGTTTCTGAGTGTTTTTAGCTTGCTGCTATACAACTGACCCTTCACAAAGACCCACCCCCCTTACTGTTGCTATGTCTGACAAGCCGTGGTGCACTCATACCACACACCATGTTCTTATGTAATGAAAAATACATCGTGGAGCAAAGAGCATGAACCGATCATCTCTTTCTCTTTATAGCACAAAATAAACATGAATGAACATCAGACGGAATCTTGTTTCAACCGTGGAAAGATGTCAATACACACCATTTTTCAAGACGTTAATCTACTTTCCTGTCTGGTTTGTTTGTCAGACAAAAATGGCAGATTCATCTTTAGGATTTGTCAGATCGCTTGTCAATCAAACTCCATGCGAAGGGTCAATTGAGTGGGTGTTCTGAGTGTTCTTCTTTAGCATGTTGTCATACTATAGATTGGGTAGTTGCTGGGTTTTTCTGAGAAGTTTTTAGTGTCTATCCAAGCAGTTGATTGTGTTTTATACAAAATATTTTCTGTAAAAAAACATGTGGTGCATAAGGAAACACTATCCTTGTTTATATTGGTGAATGGGTTTTCTTCACTTTTAGACCGCAGTTATAGCTTGTAACATTAGTAAGCGTTGACTTTGGACTATGCAGAAATAATGACTGAGGACAGTATTGCTACAGCTGTTCTGTAGCATCTGCAGATACAGATGTCACTGCTCTCTCTCTCTTTTCCAGCAGTGCGGCTTTAATAAATGCATAAATAACAACAGATGACTGCTAGGCAAGGACACAGGAAGTGAGATATTGAGGGTGGCCTTTGGTGGGTCAGTCTCAGCACCACCACCTGGTGGATTATTATAAGTTATTTCAGAACAAACACAAAGATAACGCTCAACCAAGATATATGGGTATATATATGGGTTATAACCTCAAAACAGCCTAGTGTGTTTACAATCATTATAACTATGAGACATTGGGTGAGTCTGATTATTCAAATCATGACCGTAAAAACCACAGCTCTCAGGTTTAATTAATGAAAAATGTCATGCTCTTTTGCATGTCTAAAAAGTGTTTTGCAATTGCAATTGTTTCATAACTACATTCCCACTCACTTTAAATTAGTTCTTTGGAAGTGGCAAGAAGGGTATTTCTACATTGCCTAATGAAAATATGAGTGATGCTTGTCTGTGCAAACCTTGCTCCTATTATGATAAGATTTTTTGGGTGGTTGCCAGTGCACAAAGTTGTTGCTATAGTCTTCTGGCTGTTTGCTTATGTCAAAATAGCACATCCTCAAGTCTATGTTATTCTGTGCCCACCTTCAATAAGGGATTTTTTTTGCCCGTTTTTGCCAAAATCTCTCCTTGACAAGCTGCACAATGTTTAGTTATCCATGCTTGTATAGTGGGTATAAATAAATGCGAAATGCATTTCAGTTAATGCACTTACAATGAAATCTATGCGCCGTACACCAGAGAGTTTTATAGCACATCAGTGTGTCTTTATTTGATTTGGTGTGAGTTAATACAGTCTGCATCATTTCCTCTGGTCGGCCATCTCCAGCACTATGTTAGCATTCTCTCTGGCATTCTTTAACAGCACAGACACTTTTGCTACAGTCTGAAAATCAACAAACCACAAAAACTACCATGATCACCAGGAACAATTCCAATTGGCTCTGACATTTATGAGTTCCTAAAAAAAAAGAGTTTCGTATCACTTAAAGTGTGGTTATTAAATGCAGAAAAAAACCTGTGGACGTCAGCTTATTTTTGACCTTCAAAGTCATGTTATTTGTAATTTTTCCAAATGCAAAATCAGCATTTTACTCTTGGAAAATGCTTTGCTTGAAAAGATGTATTTTCATCTTGTGTCATCACAAGCATTTATATTTAAAAATATTACATATTTAAAAAAAATATAGAAGATAATAAATATATTGTAAATATATATACTGTATTACATTACGATGATTTACAATACAAATATCTATACAGTTACATAATTATATAACTTAATTTAAATTTTAATAAAATTGTGTTATATAGCCCAGTCTCACCTGAATGTCTGATTTTCATGCCACATTTCCATATTTCACCATCTCTTTGAGAGCAGGCCACAGTTTGTTTATTATCTCTGCCAGAGACAGAGGGATGCCCAGCGCCACCTTCAAAGCCTCCTGCATGGCTTCCTCCCTTCTTTACAGTCAAAGAAAAACATTCAGTCAGTCCCAATTTAAAATAACTGTAGCCATATAAGGGGTTTGAAACATTTGAAAGGTTGTCAAAGCTACTGTGCCATGTTTATGGGTTTTTGCCAGTGTGGTTGTAATTTGCATTCTATAACCACATTTCCACAAAGATAATTTACTTTGGCAGTTAAATGCAAGTTGAATGGTTGTGTAACGTTAGTTAAATCAGTCAGGCTCCTCTCTGCAAATATGTGCCTAGTCTTTCCTGTTTCTTTTTGTGGTCAATTACATGTTTTTTTACATCAGTCAAACTGGTTTAACATGATACAGAATGTTCCTTATTTTTCCCGGTGGCATGTATTGTCTCTAGTTTGATGGACTGGAAGGATGGGTTTGTTTGTTTAAACTTCACAGAAGTGATGAACCGTACCTTTTGATTTCATCAGGTGTGCCTTTGGGCAATTTCAGAGCAGCCTAATGAAAGAAACACGCAAGAAAACAGTTATCAAATATTTTGTGCATGACAACTTATTGTCATCTAGACATATTTTACAGCACTTTTATTACACAAGTGGCATATTTATTATGGCAAATTCATTCATACATTTTAAAGTGTCCAAATACTTTTAAAACCACTGTTTGTGTTTGGTCTTGTACCATGTAGCTGTTAAAGGCCATTGAATCAGCATCCACTTTTAATAATGAGTCGTTCATGGCTTCATGAAATGGAGGGATGAGTTTTCTCATCTCTGCATCCAGAGACTCAAACTGTCTCTTACCGTACGTCATCTGACCGTCCATGCAGCCCAGAGCTGCACCCTTACAATGAGATAGATGCACATAAAGATAAATAATATATATTATAATAATTATATATATATACATACATATATTCTTATAAATAATACACATTTTTTTTCTAAATATATTTTATGTTGAATATAGAATGTATATATTCAAATGATTAAAATACATATAAAATAAAAATATTATGATTTATAATTAATGATTAAAAATGTGTATGTGTGTGTGTGTGTGTATATATATATATATATATACTGTCAGATCAGCAGTCTTCCCCATGATTGTGTAGCCTAGTGAACCAAACAGAGACCATTTTGAAGGCTTAGGAAACCGTTGCAGGTGTTTTGAGTTGATTAGCTGATTGGCATGTCACCATATTCTAATTTGTTGAGATAGTGAATTGGTGGGTTTTTGTTAAATGTGAGCCAAAATCATCACAATTAAAAGAACCAAAGACTTAAACTACTTCAGTCTGTGTGCATTGAATTTATTTAATACACGAGTTTCACAATTTGAGTTGAATTACTGAAATAAATGAACTTTTCCACGACATTCTAATTTATTGAGATGCACCTGTACAGTATATATATATTCCAAAATGTTAAAATAAATATTAAATAAAAATGATTGTGAATAAAATATAAGTTTATGAGATTTGTAAATTATTCCATTCCTTTTTTACTCACAATTTCTACAGTGTCCCAACTTTTTTGGAATTGGGTTTGTATTTTAAGTATCTATATTATATATTTTATAAGTATATATTATCCTACAAATAATTAGAAATATACCTATATATATATATATATACACACACACACACACACACAATTTATCAGTATGATCATTTTTTTATTAATTTTGAATTTTATAGATTTTTAGAATATACATAATATTAGAAAATTTGTTTTTTATATTCTGATAAATTTCGATAATTTTACAGATATAAATAAAATAATATAAATTTAAAAAGATACAATTTGTATTATAAAAAAAAATATTTGATATTCCAAAACAAAGTATATATGTGACTTTGGACCACAAAACATAAGGGTCAATTTTTCGAAATTGAGATTTATACGTCATCTGAAAGCTGAATTAATAATCTTTCCAGTGATGTGTGGTTTGTTAGGATAGGACAATATTTGGCTGAGATACAACTATTTGAAAATCTGGAATCTGAGGGTGCAAAAAAATC